AGTCTTGTAGGGGCTCAGATTTCTTTGTGGAAGGCCACAAATATGTGCTATTTCACACAGCTCTTAGCATTCTGCCTGAGGGGAGGAAACAGCAATAAAAAATAGGACTCAAATTTTGTCTCTTTCCTTCTGCTTCACTCACTCTCACCAGCCAAGATGTATCAAAGCTGAAATTTTGAGTCAAATGGAATTACTCTTCCTTATTGTTTTGAGAGCATTAAGCTGTCTTTGCTTAAAACAGCCTCGGGAAATGATATCTGCAACAGTGAACTATTTTCTTGAACTAAAGAGCAAAACCCACACAACTAAGCATATCACTCGCTGTATGCATTTTGCTCTGTTTCAAGGTTGCAGGCACACACATGCAGACATAGTACTCAAAAGCTGAAGCAGATAACAGCAGACAGGAATGTAATTCAAATGCCTAGCAGACTGCTTGCCTACAGTCCAAAAAGCAATAGCTCAGTCCAAATATGTTTCAAGAATTACAGAAAGTCAAAACAGGCAGGAACAAGATTTACAAACTAGGATTCCAATAACAGTTGTTTCCATTGAATACTGCAACCAAAAGAGACGTAGTGGTCTAGTGGCTTAAAGATGCTGAGAAGGTCTGTGCTCTGGTGGTTTGAGTCCTAGCACCATGTGATGGGATGAGCTCCCATCACTTGCCTTGGCTTCTGAAAACTTAGTAGTTTGAAAGCATGCTAGATGCAAACAGATAAATAGGTACCACTTTGGGGAGCACAATAATGTGCTTTGTGCAGAAGTATGAATCTAACAGGTGCCAGACCTGCTTGAAACAATGCCCAAATGTGAGGCAACATCAATGGAAGGAAAAAGCCCTGGATGGCATTGTAGAATGCCATTAGTCATTCTAAGTGCAGAGCTAGTTTGCCCCCCCCCCCCGAGATGCCCTTCTGGATAGCATGCAAGTATGAACCGAATGGATTGGTGATCTCAGGCAGCCAAACAATTAATTTTGTATTAACACTGTAGTCTCTTGGCTAATGTACCATTGCCATATGCTAAATAAATAAACTAACTGTAACCAGAGCCTACCTAAATCTGTCTGCAATTAGTTGCAATTACTCATGCTTGGCTCTTGGTTATTGCCTCATTGAGGACCATTGCTCTGTATGCGCCTAGACCTGGGTTTTCATGATTGTGCCTCTGACTGTTCCAGTTGAACAGGAGATGCCTGTCCCAGGGCATCAGCCTCAACTGAATCCTGTCTCACTAATTCCTGAGGCTGACAATCCTGAAGCACAGACTCAGCTGGAGTAACATTGCCAGATTCAAGGTCAGAGTATGATTCTGAATTGTGACTTATAGCACATTTCACTTGGCTCCAGTGATTTTCAAATAAATTAATGAATTATCTCTAAGGATGATGCTATATGAAGACACATGATGAGCAAGTCCTATTTCTGATAATATAATAATAAAGCACATATGTGAATTCCAGAATTCTGCATAAAAAGGTAACCTATATGTTTACTCATATGCAGAATAAGTTTGCCATATGTTGCAGCAAGACTTTATATATGAGTCTATAACTGCCATTCCAAAACTCACTAGGTCATAACATTGTTACAGCAGATGATGGAGTGACAGAGATAGATAGATAGATAGATAGATAGATAGATAGATAGATAGATAGATAGATAGATAGATAGATAGATAGATAGACAATACAAATGCACACATGCAAACAAATATAGTACATATTAGCTTTTGATATCCTAGCAAGATGTCAGGAAAAAAAATATCCAGAGAGAAGTTATAGGATGCTGAAGTTGGAAAATCTGCATCATTTGTCTTTCTTATGACTTTTGCAATTTTTTTTGTGTGCATTCAATTTAGGATTTATCTGATGCAGTGATGGTTAAGTTTCCCTCCTTGGGTTCCTAGAATGAAGAAACAAGTAAGCTTCTATTTTGAAACTATAAGATACTTGTGTTTTTTAAAAAAATCTATTGGTTACTCGTAGACAGAAAAATAAATAGAGAAATGAAGCCAACTGTATATTAATGAAGCTGGAGATAATTTTAGATGCCCTGATGTGAAGAAGCATGTCTGGCTTTTGCGATGCCTACTTTGAGGCAGGTGTAAGTTTTGGGGTAAAAGGCCAAAGATGAAACTCTAATCACAGAATATTATAGGACATCATGCAAAGTCAAGTCACAACTAAGTGGATTTACATATTATGGCAATCCAAACTATAAGCCATATTTATAAACCACAATAACGTCAAGTCAAACACTCGAAATCTAAATGAAAATGGATAATATGTCTTTTGAAATATGTAAATCTTCAGTGCTGGAAAAATGAGAATATACCATCAGAGGAAGAAGTAATAAGAAAAATCCTGGACTGTGCTGAGATGGACAAATTAACAAAAGAGATAAAAGAAAAGGAAGAGTATTATATAGCATGGAACAAGGTGTATGTCTGGTTGGAGACTAGAAATAATAGAGGAGAATAAATATGGAAAGGTCAAAAGTGAAAATATGTGTATAATAATGTATAATAATAATAATATATGAATTATTCTTAGTAAGAAGTAGAACATGAAGGAAGAAAAATGTAAATAAGAAATAATGGGGCTATAAGGACAAATATTTAAAGAAGAATAAGGGGGAAATGTAAATATTAGATACCGTTACGTAATTGCTGTAGAAAAAAGGAGGAGTATATATTGTGTGTATATGTGTGTTATGTTTTGCTTTGTTCTGTTTTGTCTTGTTGGTTAAAAAAAATAATAAAAAAAGAAATGTGTAAATCTTACACTTGTGTATGTGGGAGAATATCCTATAGGCAGACTGACTTTCCCATAAAGAGTTTATGATAAAAATAGAAGAGCCATATAAAAATGTCTAAGTCTTTTCCTTACTTCTCTTGCTAAGGTATGGGGGGAAATGAGTGTTGTGATTCACGGATAATTTGATCAAAAGGCAGAATTTTCTTTAATAATCAATAAATCACATCTGTCTATCTATCTACCGTATTTTCTGGCGTATTAGACGACTCGGCATATAAGACAACCCCCGACTTCGGAGCCGATTTGCATGCTTAGAAAGTCGTCTTATACACCAGAAACTACCATAATTTCCAGCGTATAAGACGACCCCTGACCCCAGAGCTGATTTGCATGCTTTTGAAAGTCGTCTTATATGCCGGAAAATATGGTATATCTATTTGTCTGTCTATCTCATAATACTAAGATTCACCTCAAATCAAAGGGGGAATTTCCATTCATAAAATACATATTCCTGTAGCTACTCCAATGTGTATCCACAAATCTGTCTTAGCTTGTCCCCAGAATTTGCAGGGCAGCTATGGAGGGCACATAATGAGTTCAGGTAGAAAAAGACCACAGTCACAATGCCACACTCCAGTGCTCTCCCCTGCTCATTTGTCTACTTGCTACTTTAATACGAAAGTTCGCATACAAAGCTGAGTTAAACTCCCCCAGCTGGCCACTTCCAACAAGTTGTGAGTTGGCATGCTGATCACAAATTGAGCCTTAGGTAGAACAGATCTTGCTGCTGTGACTAGGCATTAAATAGGATAAAGGTTTCATATTCAGCATCCTCAGAAGATGACTAATCCCTCATACCTTTGCCAGTATCTTGGCTTCCCTCCCACTGTTCATTATCTCAGGTCCCTTTCCTATTTTATTCCTTCCATTTAGAGTATTGGAAGATGGAGGATTTGAGGAGGCTTGGAGCTTGCCACAACCAACTTGCCATGGGACAATTCGCCACAGCCAAACTTGCCCACAGGACAACATGCCACAGGATAAAAGTTGATAATATCGAAGAAATGGTGAAATAGAGTCATTAAAGAAAGGATGCAAAAGGAGGGACAAAATTAAATGTGAATGACTTAAATTAAAAATAGTTAAAAATTAATTTTATTGTTGAATTGTCCTATGCCACATTTTCCTGTGGCAAATTGTCCCATGGTGAGTTGGCCATTGTGAGCTGGCCACGGTGAATTGGCTATGGCAAATTGTTAGCGGAGATTTGGCTATGGCAAGTTGGCTGTGGCGAGTTGTCACATTTCGAGCACAAAACTATGAAACAGGCAGAAGGAATTTTGGCTTGGGAAAAATGTGTCCTGAACCTGCTATGAGCAGTCAGGCACATAGACCATATGGAAATCTGATAGAAATGAGGAGAACAAAAAGGAACATCTACTCTGCAGAAAGACGTGCAATCAAATTAATAAATGAAGCAGAAGCAATATTTTGAGTTGAAAATAATTAGAGAAACCACAAACTTTTTCGAATACATTTGGAAATTGAAACTGCCAGAGAAGCCGTTGGAGTACCAGACAAAGGAAATGTCAGAGAAAAGTATGAAATGTATGTCTGTGTGCTTCTAATCTTGGAGGAATAGAAAGATATAGAAATAATGAGTAATAAAATTGTAAATGAGGCTGACAAACTAAAAAATAATAAATCCCTGAATCCAGATAGTATGCATGCAAACAAACTTCAACAAAGGGAGTTGAAGTCCACAAGTCATAAAAGGGCCAAGTTTGAAGACCCCTGCTTTAACAGCTTTCAATTTGCTTTTCTTTTTATAAAATATGCAACTTCTTTTCAACATTGGCATCTGTTCTCCAGGTCTGCAAGGAGGGTAATAAACATAGTAGTAATTGTGGCATTTTTATTTGGTATATATTTATATCAAAAAGTAATACAAACAGGCCATAACAGAAATCATACAACTCTATTAATTTTATAACCATGAGCTAAGCCCAACTCTGCCATTATTTAAAGTGGAATAGGGTAACAATATTCTTCCAACATTACACAAAAGTCCTGAAAAAGAAGCATTAAAGACCTTTTTTAAATCTTGAGAGATCAGTTTCCTAATGTACTTTGAGTGGGAGTTATTTCCAAAGAGTAGGAGCTAGATGGAAGAAGGCCAGTTATCTTAACATCTCTTCTGGGAGAAATTGTTGAAAAGTATTATTAAAAAGAAAATAAGCAAACACACTGAAGAAGGAGCCCAGCTGAAAATTTAAAACATGACTTCCACCAAGGTAAGTCTGTTCTCACTAATATTCTAGGCTTCAATAAATGAAAACAACAGATATTTTCTTCTCAAACTTTAAAAAAAAAACCTTAGCCATGATCTCTCTCAGCTGGTTATAAAATAGGAAATAGTAAGAATAAATTGGCAATTTCACACTGGAAAGATGTACACAGTGGGGTCTTCTATAACTGATATCAGAATTGGTGCTTTTTAACTTTAAGATAAATAATTCTGAAGTTGGGTTTGAACGGGGAGTTTGTGTCTGCAGATGATTATAGTAACCACACATCCCCTATTATAAAGGACAGCCCTTTGAAACAGAGAGCTTTTTAAAAAGATTTAATTATTTGTTTTCTTGATTTTGCTCTTGAATTTTCCTTTGTAAAGCAAAGTTATAAAAAATCAATTTAAAAAAATCCTTATGAACCTTTTCCAGATTTTCCCCTTTGTCAGGATCGTCCTTTATTTTTTCCAAGAAAATACAATCACTGTACAAATCATACATAGTTCAATATGCTAAAATTTTTAAAAAGGCATTGTGAAAAGCTCTAAAGGATCTCTTCACTGGGGTGAAGGGGGTTTCAAAATGGCCAGGGGTAGGCAACCTTGGCTCTTGTATGACTCTTGGACTTCAACTGGCTCAGGAATTCTGGGAGTTGAAGCCCACGAGTCGTAAAAGTGCCAAGGTTGCCTACCCCTAAAATGCCAAACGCAATTTAGTGTTAACAAGTGTAAAGCAAAACCTATTGATGTAAAAATTACAAAACTTTCACTTATACATTAATAGGAACTGAGTCATGCTCAATGAAAATGTCAACCCAATGTGCACCTGCTTCAAAAATGGAAAATCTTTTCTTTACAATTATTAGGAGGGGGGATTGAAAATAGAAATCCCTGTGTAATAAGGCTCTTGTACAAATCTATCAGGAGGTCACTCCTGGAGTATTATGCTCTACTCCTAGTAACTTCAGCTGGAAAATGTCCAGGAAAAAAAAGGCAACCGAAATAATTAGGTGGATGGAAGGCGCAACTACATCATTGGAGTTTTCTAGCTCAGAATGAAGGAAGGTGAAGGGACTTACATGGGAAATCATGGAGGGGGCACATAATTGCTGTTTTTCTTTCACACAGTATGAAATTTTAGCTCATCACTGAAAATAATGCAGAAGGAAATACTCTTACACAGAACCAAGTTAATGCAGAATTTGCTGCCAGCACCTGAGGTAATGGCAGCCAATTTGGATGCTTTTAAAAGTGGACTGGACGAGCTCGTGGAGGATCAGGCTATTGATAGTTATTAATATTGATGGCTATTTACCACTTTTGGATCCTGATGCAGAATGCCTAGAGTCAAATGCTAATCTATTATAGCTGCAGATATATGGCACTTTTCCAAAAATGGAGATTCTGAGTTAAAAACACCCAAGATATCCATATTGAAATTCCACATTTTATTTCCATTTCCCGAGGAATCTGAATACTGATCAGATTTCTGTCATTAGGCAAGAACATTGGATATTCCTCTTAATCTTTGATTTTTCAAGCAAATGTGCACATATTCTAGATTTCTTCAGAGATACGTTGAGTAGTTTATTTTAAAAACAGAATTTTCTTGAATTAGTTTTGTTAAGCTGCTTTAGCCAAATCTTAGTAGTTTTGTGCCTTTGTTACATATGGAGACACAGATATAGACATGGACATATGGATACACAAACACACATCCATTCATTTATTCATTTGTATATCTATTTCTGAATGAATACCTTTCATTTTCTAAATTGAAAGAATGGGGTCTGTCTGATTTAATATCATGTATTACATTAACTTACGATCACAATCGGACCAGAATTTCTGTCTCTAAGGGAGCGACAGAAGGGAGCCATGCTTGTCTTTATGACCTTTTTGCCATAGTCATTAAGCAAATCATCATGACTGTTAAGTGAATCTGGCTTCCCCCATTGACTTTGCTTGTCAGAGGCTAGCTGGGAAGGTTGCAAATGGTGATCATGTAACACCAGGATATTGCAACTGCTGTAAATACATGCCATTTGCCAAGCAGCCAAATTCTGATCACGTAACTAAGGGGATACTCATAAGTGTGACCACTTTTTTTAGGATAATTGTCACTTCAAAGGGTTGTTAAAGACTTATTCATTCATTGTTTTGCTACCAAACTTCCCAATTTCTTTTATTTTCTAATATGTTTACCGGAACGTGACTTGATAGCTAATGTGAAAAATGTCATTATCCTCCTTATAAACACCTACATTTAACTCCTCCTCCTCCTCCTCCTCCTCCTCCTCCTCCTCCTCCTCCTCCTCCTCCTCCTCCTCCTCCTCCCCCTCCTCCTCCTCCTCCTCCTCCTCCTCTCATTTCGTGTTTTGAGAGAACTCCCTCCCTCAATATCTGAAAATATATGTTCAGATTTTTTTTCCATCAGACCTGATATTATGTTTGTCAAAATTAAAATATTTATCTAGGAATCTCTGTGAGAAAGAGAGCTCATAAAAGTCAAAATGGTGATGTGTTCACTTATCAAAACATTTTTCTGCTGTTCTTAGAGAAGGTTTTACAATTTCTAGTTCTGCTTTGCAGGCTTATACTTTAGCCCAAAGCAATTAGATTCATTTCATCATGACCTATATATTTTGAAAAGATTGAAAATTTCTGTAAACAGCATCTATAAGAATCTGTACTTGTGACTAAGTATTAAACTTGGGAAAAGTTTATTTTTTTAAAAAAAGATGGCTTCAATTTTTTGCTATATTTTGCCAATCAATTGCAGTACATTAGAAGTTCAATTTCAAAACAATAGTAAACTTCAAATGAAATGGCTTACATATTCATAGCACAGAGGTAGAAAATTCAGAACTGGCAGCTTGCATTAGCTTCCAAGCCCTGTTTTTATGGCACCCTGAAGGATTATGTTACTGATTTTTGCTGGTTTACCATCAGATGAAGGAGGTAGTTTTCCTATCCTTTTTTTCAGGAGAGTAATAAAATAATAACCTGTGGGACAGAAGGAGAGTTAGGACACTGGCCAGGATAAATAAAATTAAGCCTACTGACATGTGAATTAAATCAGATTAAAATGCATTTGTCAATTCATTTGCACCTCCATGCATTGCAACATATCAGCTATTGTGTTATTTTCTTGTCCAAGTACTCTGTAAATCCTGGGAATTAACCTATAACTATGGAATTGATTAATATTCATATTTTAGCATGTTTGGTGAACCATTTAAAGAGGCGGAAGTCACATTTTTGATGCCAAAGAAGAGATGTGCTTTCTCTGCTGTAGTTCCTGCCCTCTGGAATATTCTTCCAACCCTGTTGACTTTTCATAAGGCCATGAAGACTTGGTTATGTGCATAGACTTGGAAATCCAGGTAAGTTAAGGTGCCTGTTTCCTGGCGCTTTACTACATCCATAGTAACAATTTTACATACATATACACATACATACATACATACATACATACATACATACATACATACATACCGTAAATGCCGGTGTACAAGGTGACCCGGCGTATAAGACGACCCCCGTCTTTATAGCCAGGCCGCATTTCTAGAACGTCGTCTTATACGCCGGAAACTACCAGTATTTCCGACGTATAAGACGACTCGGCGTATAAGATGACCCCCGTCTTTGGCGCCTATTTCAGCGCTCGCAGAAGTCATCTTATATGCTGGCATTTACGGTACATATTGTACTGTTTTAATAGTTTTTATGTTTTATGATGTACATTGCCCAGAGTCACTTATCTGATGAGTAGGTATAGAAATTAAATCAAATAAAATAAAAAAATAAGAGCAATTTAGGGATCTGGGTGGCAACATACAAAGCAGTATACCACTCACATTACAAATACATGTTTATCTCTATATAAATTCAAAATCATTTCAACAGCCCTTAGGACATATTTACCTCAGAAAAGAACCTCAAAGGACAGTTTATTTCTTCTCTGTTTCTCTGTGCTTGAGGAGAACAGGGATATACATTACAGCAATACAGCCCATAAATTACACCGCAGGAATCAGAAATGATTGGATCATTAGAAACTTTTGATTATAGCTTTCATCATCTCTGAATGTTTTCATTACCACACTTTTTTAAATAATATATCTCCCTCCCTCTCTCCCCCCCCCTCTCTCTCTCTCTCTGTGTGTGTGTGTGTGTGTGTGTCTCCTATAACATTATTAAAACCATTTTTCCAACAGGAAGCAAAATGGTGAGGGTTCAGCATGAGCTTAAAGAAAATTTGAACTTAAGTCTCCTTGTTAGAATATGATCTGGTAGGGAGACTCAGCAAAACAAATCCTACTTCACTACCTATATTTCTATTTTCTGTTGGTGTAACAAAATTATTTCTGTCTTTTTTTTTAACAGAAAAGAACCAGAAATATTTTTGTTAGTCCAGCTTTATCTACATTTGTGGATTATTTGTCCAATAAGATCATTAGATTAGGACTTCCAAAGAAACATTTGTTCACCAATGTTGAATCAGGGCAATCAACAGAACATGAGCTTTTCTAGACATTATTAATACTTCTCTTTCTGCAGAACACTGAAACACGCCAAATGTGAAAGTAAAAATTGCAATATTATAGCACACTATAGTGGTTAATATGTATATATGTATTATGATAGTATTTGGAAGAACTGGTCAGCATGAGAAAAAGCAAAGCCTCTGAAATATGGAGACTTGAGTTTTTTCATTTTCAAGGCAGTTTTTCAAAGGAATCCAATTATTTTTCAAGATGTGCTGTCTGTAGGTCAACCATTTTACAAAATTAAAAATTATTAAAGGGTTTGTAAAGAGTGTTGGATGGGTAGTTAGACCTGAAGATTGGAGAATTATGGTGTCAGATCTGTTTTTTTCCCCCACATTTCCCACTTCCTTGTTTATCAAATTGTTAATTCTTCTTGAAGAGAATCAAGAGAAAACTTGATGCAAAATATCCAATCAGATTCTTATTTGGAAATGTCTATGGAGATTCTCAGTCATCCAAGTCTCCAAAAGAATACAAATGACCAGCTGTCTGCAAGGAATATAAATCCTTCCATTTCCCATCATCCACTCAGAGCTGAAGAAGCTTTTTGGATGAGAAATGAAACATCTTCAAAGAAAAAACAAGAAAGTCCAGTTGCCTCCTGAAAAAGCACCTTTGGAACTTATTTGGAAATGGTTTGTCTTTTTGGGATTCAGCTTGCAATGTATGAATTACAAATATATAATAACATATTTAATAACACATATGTAAATAACATATTTAATAACAAATATGGCTGTGAAAGTTGGACCATAAGAAAGGCTGAGTGCCAAAGAATTGAGGCCTTTGAACTATGGTGCTGGAGAAGACTCCTGCGAGTCCCCTGGACTGCAAGGCATTCAAACCGGTCAGTCCTAGAAGAGATCAACCCCGACTGCTCTTTAGAAGGCCAGATCCTGAAGTTGAAACTCAAATACTTTGGCCACCCATTGAGAAGGAAGGACTCACTGGAGAAGGGCCTAATGCTGGGAAAGATTGAGGGCAATAGAAGAAGGGGACGACAGAGAATGAGATGGCTGGCTGGAGTCACTGAAGCAGTAGGCGTGAGCTTAAATGGACTCCAGAAGATGGTAGAGGACAGGAAGACCTGGAGGAATGTTGTCCATGGGGTCGCGATGGGTCGGACACGACTTTGCAATTAACAACAACAATAACTTGGGGAATGGAATGTAGTTCTACTTTTTAATTAATGTCTGGACAAAAAGGAAAACCAACAGTTAACAAGAAACAAGGGCACACATGACATGCTGTGCTTGCCTGGATAAGTGACTTTCAAAATACGTACAAAGAAAGCAGTGACATTTCTTGGCACTGAAAAAAACAATAGGTAATAATGGACATCTATAAGTGATGGCTGAAGCTAAATTACAAAGAACAGTAATGAACATAATGTCACACTTCTGTGTTTAATAACTGAACGTGCACATGCTGGACATTTTGTTGATTCTGGCGCAATGCTCCAGTTTCAGCTTCCATACAAATATTCCTCTATTAAAAGTATGTGAAGTGCTGGATTATGGAGATCCATATAACTATGAGCTTAAAAAAGTTCTCAATGATAAAAATATATGTACTCACATCAGTATAACCTTCAAAGGATAAATATTTAGACCACATTTCCACACTAGTATCCTGAAGATATGTTGGATACAGATTCCAGGATTTCTAACTAGCATTATCCTTCTGAATGGGAGTTTTTCAACCCACAGCACCTCATTAGACTTAAGATGACAATAATGTGCCATTAACCTAATGTCAACTCTTAGTAACCACCCAGATAGATTTTCCCCAGAAGGATCTGTCCCCAACCTGATCCTTCAGATCTTCCAATGGTATCTCCATCACTACTGTGTCTTAGTCTATTCACCTTAACAGAATAACAGAATTACAGAGTTGGAAAGGACCTTGGAGATCTTCTAGTCCAACCCACTGCTCAAGCAGGAGACCCTATACCAGCCAGGATCTTATTGCTGGTCACCCTCTTATTGTTTCTTTCCAGCATAACTGCCTAGAGTTATGTCTTTTCATAATGTCTCCTAAATCTGATAATTCAAGTCTATTTATTTGTGCTTTGAGTGAGAATATTGTGTGGATTTATTCAATGGTCCATTTGTTTGTTTTCTTGGTCACCCTTAGTGTTTCCAGGTATCTTCTCCAACACTAAAGTTCAGAAGCACTAATACTGTTTCTATCCTATTTCTTCAAAGTCCAGCTTTTACTTCCATATTGTCTGCAAAGTTCTGATTTTTGCAAGTTATATCTTAATATATTTTCCAAGACTTTCATTGCTGTTCTTCCAAGTGCTAATCTAGGACATATATCTTGAATGCTTGTTCCTTTATGCTGATGGATGATCCTAAAATGTAGAAGCTAACCACCATTTTGGTATCTTCCTAGCCAGTTCTAAAGCTGTTTGTAATACCTGTTATCCTTAGTTTGTTCTTTATATTTAATTTTAGTGCCATTTTTTCACTATGCTCCTTGACTTTCTTTATTAGAGCTTGCAGATCATTTGCATTTTCAGCTATCTGAGAAATATCATCAGCATAGTGCAAATTATTGATGCTTCTCTTTCTAATTTTAAAACCATGCTAAATTTCTTCAAATCCCTCAATATATATTCAGGATGAATAAATAAGGGGAAATATGTAGTCTTGTCTCATTTCTTTGCCAAGTGAGATGTTTAAGGATTCCTATTTTTTAAAACCATATTCTATTTATTGAACATGATCAGTACAACTAAAGGCCTTTCTATAATCAAGTAAAGCTTTGACCTCTTTTTGCTATTTTCTGGCTTTCTCGATATACAGCATGCATCAGCAATGATGTTTCATAATTCTTAGCCTTTTCTAAAGTCAGCTTAAATATCTGGCATCTTTCTTTCTATGTAGGGGTTTAATCTGCATTGGATTATCCCAAGCATAATTAGTGTGTGAAATCAAAGCTGTTGTTCAACACTGTTCAAATGTTGTAAGTTTCATTTCTTTGATATTGTTATGTAGATTGTTTTCATCTGTTCTCTTGGCTATTGTGATGTTCTTCATATTTGCTGGCAAAGTTTGGTTAGAATTTTTACTGATTCTTCTATTGCTTGCCATTAGATATTTAATGAATTACTATAGGTTTTTTTTTAACTGATTCTTCTATTGCTTGCCATATTTATTTAGATATTTAATGACTGAAGTGTTCATCTCACCTCAACATCTAGTACTATAGGTCCTGTAAATAGGAAATATTTTCTAAGATATCTGGGTTCTTGACAACTCTATTGTTTCACTATACTCCTTCCATTTTTGTTTGATCTTCTTTGAATCAATTACTAACTGTCCAGGGGCATAATTTGAAGTGAGAACCTTTTCCTAAGTTCAGAGAACTTTAGAAGAGGGCTTTTCAACCTTTTCACCCATTGTACAACTTTTAGGATATGGCAATATCCAAGTACCACCAGTCGCCTAACAAGGTGTCAAAAACTTGATGACCAAAAAAAGTCAAAAAAGTGATAAAGTGCAGGTAGTCCTCGACTTACAACAGTTCGCTTAGTGACTGTTTGAAGTTACAATGGCACTGAAAAAAGTGCCTCCCAAGCCATAGCCGAGCAAGGCACCTGCCTGCCCACCCAGCAGCGCTCTTCCTCCTGTCTGAGGTTTTCATTGTTGTGAGCATTTCTGTTGAGGATTGGCAGCGGGGGTGGGGTGGGGGGTGTTTGGTTTTTATTCCCCCCGACTGCAGGGTGGTTGCAGCAGGTTTTGGTCACTTCACATGACCCTGGGACACTGTGACCGTCATAAATATGAATCAGTTGCCAAGTATCTGAATGTAAATCACAAGACCCTGGAGAGGCTGCAACATTCCAGGTGATCGGCGCTTCTTCTGGGCTCAGCAGAAGGGCCAGGATCAACGCCGAGCTCCAGCTGGAGCCTGGTGCTGATCCTGGCACTTCTGCTGAGCCCTGACAGTCCCAAAGAAGTGCTGATCCTGGCACTTCCGCTGAGCCCTGACAGCCCTGCAGCTCCAGCCATCTCTTACTCAGGCTTGTGCGGTGCTGTCACCGGTTCAGCTCATTCCCCTCCCCCACCACCACTTTTCTAGGATGGTCATGTACCACCTGCCAGGTGCCAATGTACAACAGGTGGTACCCGTACCACTGGTTGAAAAGCCTTGCTTTAGAAGACTGTTTTTTTCTGGTTCCCTCTTTTATGTCTTTACAGATATTGTTGTAATATTAAATCTTGTCTCTTCTAACATTTATTTGTAATTCTTTGTTAAATTCATTCTTGTTAATGTCTGTCTTGACTTTGTTTTTCTTTCTGGGTTTTGGGTTTTTGTTTTTGTTTTTCAATTTCCACTGCTGTTTTGATATATAGTTTGTTTTCTTCTGTTATTTGATCTTTGGAAGTCTTTTTCATTCACAATTAACTTTAAGTTTAATCTACAGTTCTTCTAGTTCCCTATCAATGAGGTTCAGGACCTCAAAATGATTCCTGATGTTCTCCTTGAAAATGGTTGGCTGTACAGTATGCATATATATGCCCAAGATCATATAGTGTAAACTGAATGGCATTCTTCTTCCACTTTAGCCTAACATGGAACTTGTACATAATAAGAATGAGATCTGTTCTATTGTTAGCCACTAGCCACTAATTGTACCAAAAATGTAGACATCAGGTGATGTCCACGTACATAGGCATTGCTTTAGTTCTTTGATGATTGTGTTAGCAATAAAGAAATAATTGGATTGACAGAAATTGATAAGTCATTCTGCATTCATTTTGGATTCATAGGCCATATGGGCCACAACATTATCCTCCTTAGTATTTCCAATTTTGGCATGCCAGTCTTTAGTGAAAAGCAGCAGATATTGTTGATTTCAGATTAATCATGACAATAAAACTTGTCAACTATCTCTTCTCCATCAGTTATGGGAGCTTAAACTTAGTTTATTGTCATATTAAAGGATCACTGGATGGGACCATAAATATTTTTTTTATTTAATCTGTAATTTCAATTGTTATGGCTGCCCATTTGTATAAGATCTGAGGTTGGTACTGAGCTCTGCAACCAAAATGGCACTGGGGGTTGAAGCCTTCCCTTCAGTTCACTGATACCTAAGATGACAATGTACAGTAAATTCATTTCAACTTTCAGTGTGCTGAGCTTTCTCATGTTCATGCTTCTTTCATTCTCTGTACCTATCATAATTCTGTCTTTGTAACTTCAAATTTTCTTTTCTTGCATGGCAGCATCAGCAACTAGAGATCCTGAAAGCTTTAATCTATCCATGTCATAAATACCATTGGTACTACAAGGGATCCTCAGCTTTTTCTCCGTTGCCCATTGAGTGCCATCTGACCTGCTGGGCCCATTATCCAATACTATATCATCAGTCAATGAATTTTCTATTCATATATTTTTCTTGGTAGAATATCATTACTTTTTCCCACACAGTGCAAAATGATGCCTTTGCCATTGTCATTAAAGTGATCATCTGCCTCCAGCATCTTCCCTACATAGGTTCCTGCTTATTTTTGCTGAGTAGCTGAGATGACCTTCACATCTTGTGCAAATCTGCTTGAAGTCTGTACTACTGGAATAGTCATGGTATTTTTTTGCTCATCCCTCCTCTGTCTCAAAATGCAAATACAAAATAATATTAACAAATATTGTTAATATAAAATACATGCAATAAAATATTGTATTAACAATACAAAATATGATTGCATGTATTCTACCAGTTAGAAAGTTTATGAAGTGCTGGTAGAAATGCTATGTGAAACCCTATAGAGATTCTGCTAGTTATTTTAGATTATCTTGATTTTTTAAATTTTATTTCCAAAGTTAACTTAATTGATTTAATGCATGAGAAAGGAATAATAACACAGAGAAAGACACATAAGCACACATTTATCAAGATAAGCTGTAAGGCACAATTATAATCCACCCTGAGCGGGGGGGGGGGGAAACGATCACCCAAGAATGATTGGGAGGAAGAACAGAGAAAAGCACTAAACCGGAAATTAAAAATTGGTGTGGTTTTATGGAATACAATGATCATTGTGGTTTGGTATAACCACCCACAGTATCTACTGTATACGGTCAATTTGGCCATATTAATTTATTTATTAAATTTATATAGTTTCCTAACTCAAATAAATAACCCTGGGCAGCTAATAATTAAAAACTGAATAAAAACATGTTCTATTTCTTACTAAGAATAATTCATATTATTATTATTATACATTATTATACACATATTTTCACTTTTGACCTTTCCATATTTATTCTCCTCTATTAATTCTAGTCTCCAACAAGACATACAACTTGTTCCATACTATATAATACTTTGTGTCTTCCTTTTCTTTTATCTCTTTTGTTAATTTGTCCATCTCAGCACAGTCCAGGATTTTTCTTATCACTTCTTCCTCTGATGGTATATTCTCATTTTTCCAGCACTATGCATATGCTATTCTTGCCGCTGTTATTATATGTAAAATTAAGTACCATATTTCTTAGTAAGAAGTAGAACATGAAGAAAAATGTAAATAAGAAATAACGGGGCTATAAGGACAAATATTCTAAAGAAGAATAAGGGGGAAATGTAAATATTAGATTACCGTTATGTAATTGCTGTAAAAAAAGGAGGAGTATATATATATATATATATTGTGTGTATGTGTGTTATGTTTTGTTTTGTTCTGTTTTGTCTTATTGGTTAAAAATAAAAATATATAAAATTAAAAAAAAACTGAATAAAAACAATAAGCAAAAACTATATGCTCTAATGGTATATGTGCATCTTATGGGAAACAATAAGCTTTCAGTGATGACCTTCAAAAGGAAGTAACTAAAACTTTTCTTACACCAAAGAGGCCAGCTGAACTGGAAGAAAAGGAAAAGGAGATAAACATAGTCCCTACTTTTAGGATCTCTGATAAGAACTATTACAAAATGAAAGAAAATCCAACAAATTATACTCAGAACTACAATCTCCTTCAATGGATTTACATCCAAGTAAGCCTAGCCAGCCACTGTTGTAACCACGTTTACTGAAGAGTAAATTCCACTTAAAAGAATGGGATGGACGTATAAGAGCTTTAGAGTAGTTTCACTTTTAAAGATGTAGAAATGAGTAGTGATGACCTTCCCATCTTCCTTTGATCTGAAAAAATTGTTAGGAAAGGGATGTCAAACTTTTTGAGTAAAGGAAAAAATGGTTTTAAAGAAATGCAATAAGGAAGAAGAAGACAAGGGAAGCAAAGTGTTATCGAATCTCTAAGATCTATTCAAAACGAGGATGTTGAGCAGAAAGAAAGAGTTTGGGGAAGTACAATCTGGCTCTCCAAAGGATTAATGCCACGATCTAAAGATGCTTGCAGTACATTGATTTTGTTCCCCTTTAAACTGATTTCCACTCATCCTTGATTTGGCAGAAAACCATACCAGCAGGACATTAACTATTCCCATTGGCAGTCCCTATGCTGCTTCCATCAAGCTGGGGACAAGATGAAGGCAATGTCATGGGATTATGACAGATTTTTGGGTCTCATTATTTCTGCTTCTCTGTCTCACGAACCCTTGAGGGACCCCATCACACATCATTATTCCACATTTCATTAAAGGGATGGCTGCAATATGCTGACTTTTCTAGGCTTCTGTTGATGGCAGCAGATATCCTGGGCTGTAAGGGCTGTCAGTAGCATAAACTTTTCCAATTACCTATACTAACATTTCCAGTAGCATACTGAGGCTACAATATAATCTGTTTCCCTTCCCACCAAATGCCCTTGGGTATATAAGTAATGTTCTACCATTTATATTTCCTGCTTTTATTGTATTCTCATCTCAGACCCATGCCAATTATCTTTTCAATCCCTATTCTATTTTGACTCATGTTTCTAGAAGCATTATACAAATAAACATGACTATTGCAATACCAAAAATCATAAAACTTCAGTCATTGTCTCAAAATTTTCTTTCTATACAAAGCAGGTCTAAAACCAGAAAACAGCCAACCAGCAACATCTTAGAAAAAGAGATTTTTGCAGTATGTCATTAAAATTTGCACTGCAGGGGTCTTCAGACTTGGTCCTTTTGTGACTTATGGACTTCAGCTTCCAGAATTCTTCAGCCAACATGCCTGGCTGAGGAATTCTGGGAGTTGAAGTCCACAAGTCATATAAGGGCCAAGTTTAAAGACTCCTGTATTAGAGCCATGGTGGCACAGTGGTTAGAATGCAGTATTGCAGGCTAATTCTGCCAGCTCCCAGCAGTTTGATTCTCACATGTTCAAGGTTGACTCAGCCTTCCATCCTTCTAGGGTTAGTAAAATAGGGGCTCAGATTGTTGGGGGCAATTTACTGGCTCTGAAAAATGCTTCACAAGTGCTGTATAATTCCATAACGTGATATGTAAAGCTAAGTGCTAAGTGCTATTACCTGCTATGGCCAAGACTTTGAAATAGCTACACTGTTTGAACTTCAATTACTACACAAACCCATCAGTACTCAGAGCCCTGCCAAAGGAAGATGGTTTCACTTTCAACCTTTCATAAGGAAAAGTCCAGGAAACTCTATTTAAAATCCATCCATCCATCCATCCATCCATCCTATTTATATGGCCATCCATCTCTGGACTCTGGATGGCATACAACAAAGCTAAAAACATATACAAACATATATACAAACAAGCATTACTATTGTTATGGTTTGCTGCACAATGAGCCAGATATTAACATTGGATTTGGGATTCATATCTACCCATTGAGTCCTTTCCAAGGACCTGAGATAGGCAGATGCTGTTTTTGCTTGTGTTAAAGGTATCACTGCAGGATGTAAGCTGTTCCAAGTCAAGCTGCCTTTTGCAATTGACTGGTGGTGATCTTGTCAATGCTAATCATGTCAAGTGGCACTCCAGATGTTTTGGGATTGCACCTATCACTATTGGTATTATGTTTGGGCTTTTTTGCCAAAGTAATTCTATTTCTATTCTTTGTATTTTGTATTTTTCCATTATTATTTATAATTTTAAAATTATAAAAGACAAAAAACTAAAAAAAAAATATTAGTCAAAGAGTAGGTGTTAATTACACTGGAGCCATCTCAATATTTCACAAGTCACCATGCCTGGCAACAAAATTCTCTTGAGGGACTTTTGGAAACTTACAAGGGAACAACTTACAAATTCCCTTGGGGGGCAGAAAACTAGGGGGGCACAGCAGAAAACACCCACCACTACTTACCAAGTGAAACTTCTTAATCCACAGGACCCACAGTAAGCTCTTTCTGCTGGATCTGATGGAATGGGCAGATGTAATTAAGGAGAGGCAGTCTTTCCTATAACCTGGTCCATGCCATGCATTTTAAAAGTAAAACCTGCACTTTGATTTAAACACCAAAAGAGAATAGTAACCAATGCAGGTGGAGAGCAGAGGTATAATATATGTTCTTCTAGAAACACACATAACCGCCTACGCTACTGCATTCTACAGCTGGTGAAGCTTTTACATACTCTTTATGTAGAGTACATTGCAGTAATGGTCTAAGAAATATAATTTAGGTAATACATTGGCTGTAAAAATATATTTAGACACTGGAATTCAACCTTCATCAAAATGAGAGCACAGAATGGAGAGAGGAAGAGGAAGAAAGAACAAGCCACTGGAGAACGAAACAAAGTCAAGTTTTTGATAGTCCCAAAGTAATGGAATATGTTTCCAATAGTGATTTGACAACAAATATGACCTACTATTAATGCAATAATAATAATAGTAGTAGTAAAGTTGGAAGGGACCTTGGAGGTCATCTAGTCCAACTCCCTGCTCAGGCAGGAAACCCTACACCATTTCGGACAAATGGCTGTCCAGTCTCTTCTTAAAAACTTCCAGTGTTGGAGCATTTACTGCTTCTGGAGGCAGGCTGTTCCACTGATTGATTGTTCTCACTGTCAGGAAGTTTCTCCTTAGTTCTAGGTTGCTTCTCTCCTTGATTAGTTTCCACCCATTGCTTCAGGTGCTTTGGAGAATAGCTTGATTCCCTCTTCTTTATGGCAGCCCCTGAGATATTGGAACACTGCTATCATGTCCCCCCTCGTCCTTCTCTTTGTTAAACTAGACATACCCAATTCTAGCAACCGTTCCTTATATGTTTTAGCCTCCAGTCCCCTAATCATCTTCGTTGCTCTTCTCTGTACTCTTTCTATAGTCTCAATATCTTTTTTACATCATGGTGACCAAAACTGGATGCAGTATTCCAAGTGTGGTCTTACCAAGGCATTGAAGAGTGGTATTAATACTTCACGTGATCTTGATTCTATCTCTCTGTTAATGCAGCCTAGCACTGTGTTGGCCTTTTTTGGCAGCTGCAGCACACTGCTGGCTCATATTTAGGTGATTGTCTCCTAGGACTCCGAGGTCCCTCTCACAGTTACTACTACTGAGCATGGTGCCATCTATGCTGTACTCTGTTCACGTTTGAGGAGATGGGATTGGTAAATGCAAAAATATATTATCTCACACTTTTTTTGTAGCATTATTGTGCCTAGAGATAGTTCCCATTTTAAATAAATCTCTAATCCTGTAATCACAAAACACGCTTGCAGTTTCCTGTGTGTAATTTAATCTTTCACTTTTAAATGATGAGGTCAAACTGGAAATCTATTTTAAATCACAGTGAAATGTTAATAGGGTGTCTCTGCACTTGATTCTCCCAGATTAACTAGCTATCTTAGTTTCATGGAAGCCCTCATATCTTTGATCAGATATGGAAGG